TGCAGGAAGCAGCTGGATTTAGAAAGTTCACTAATATTTTCCAACACCTGGAGATTAGAATACATGGCCAGAAAGCTGACAACTTGAGTCTTAGCCTGAATAATTTGCATTAAGGAAAAAGATAACATAACAGATGATCCTTAAGTGCCTGCTGGCTAACTGACTTAGCAAGACCTAAATCCTAAGAGTTAGATACTACTTCATTTCTGGACCCAAAGCTTATGTGACTCCATCAAACAACGCACTGAAGGAGCAAAGGACCTGAGTGACTGGCCTTCATTATCACAAAATGTTTCCAAAGTAACTGGGCCTATTAATTACTTTCATTTCTACATGACATACTATCCAAGAAAAACAGACAGTAACTAGAATGTTAATGGATACCAAATACTCAGTTTTAACATTTGAAAGAAAATTAATCATTCAAACATATGCCCTTAGTTTAGAAATCCCTACTCTTCTCGGTGAATGTTCTAAAACAATTACACAGTCTCAAAATTATGCAGCCTCTAAAACTAGCCAGGTATGGGGAGGATCCAATTAAAGAGCTCTACTAAAACCTGCTTGGAAAAAACCTACACTTGCCTCATTCTCATTCCAGCCAACACATATAAAGCATCTATTCTATCCGTAGGACAGTGCTGGGTACACTAGAAAATACAAGGAAACACAATGGACTCTGCCTGACCTTGAGAAACAACACTGCCTTGGGGATAAACAGAGTGAAAGGACGAGATGCTGTGTAGAGTGCTGGCTTTGCCACATGAATGTGAGCTCTAGCTTTTTCCAGTGGAAAAATGTGCTTACCATTATACCAGCTGTCCTATAGCAATTTGAAATTAACTATGATAAAAGAGAATATATCTTGAAACTCTGAAAAGAATCATTCTATTTAAGTTAATATATAAGATATAATAATAAATCATATTCATGAGGCAACTAGAGAATAAAAGGAAACAAAGAAGTGTATGATGTATCATAACATAATGTAGAACTTCTCAAAGTTAATTCAACACAACTTTAATTCTGTGAGATATTTCTCAAAAAAAGAATCCCATGGCCAAGTAAGCACAGGAAGCCCAGGGATTAACGATTTGTCTATCACTGGTACTATCACGAACAGTAGCTAACATCTAGTAAGTGTCAGTTACAGTGCTAAGTCTTTTCTATGAAACATCTCATTTAACTTCACAGTAACTTTATAAGATAGGTATTATAGGTATTATTATCTCCATTTTACACATGGGGAAACTGAGGTAGAGGACGTTACATAACTTTCCCAAGGTCGCACAAGCTAGTTAGTGGCAGGTGCAGGGTTCAAACCCAGAGCCTCCACATTTAACCGCAACACATACTGTTCTCTACTTCCCCGAAGTTTTTGAAATTTATTGTGAATCTACCAGAAGGGAATAGAACATGTGTGCTTCCTGATTTATTTTTGTGGAGAAACTTGCAGCACTCTGGGAAATGGAGCAATAATTAAAGTGCGTTCATTTCCTTTTCTTAAATTATTCTTCTTCCTAGGTTTGGGTTATACTTTAGTCTAGGGTATTTCCTTTATGATCTATGTCATCCAAACTAGTAATCCAACAGATACCACAATTTAAAATTACCTGCCTAGATCAATATCATAATAGTAGCGCAGCAGGGGACTACACACAGAATCCACGTTTGGTTTAAATATCTGGGCCCAGAAATTCATATTGTATAACTGAGGAGAACATCTAGACTTAAAGGATGAAAATGTGTCAACTATTAAATACTATGTATTGCAGTTACACAATATCATATCCCTTGAAACTCACAACATCCCATCAAGTGGAGCAAATAAGACTGAAATATTAAACTTTTGCTTTACATTTATTATTCTTTATAAGAAAAAAATTAAATAGGCCCATTAGGCAGTTTTGCTACCAATGAGTGGATTTTCCAATATTTTCTTCATCTAGTTTATGTAGCATAAACTGTAATGTAATCATTTTTGTTTGAAAAATCACAGTTTTTATAGTCAACACCATTAAGGTAAACTTAATATAGGAGAAAGTCAATCATAACACACCAAACACTTAGTTTTATAGAGACTTCAGTAAAGTGGCTTTTCATTTCCTGATGATTATACAATTTCTTTGTGCTGCACTAAAAGCCAGGGATATAAGAACAACACAAACTGAAACCCAGACAGAAATGAAGACCAATGATCAATGATAAGTGGTTATTCAATGTGATATCTTCATGGCTCTCCCCTTAAGAATCACCTAGGCAATAAGTGAAATGTCTTCTTTTTTACAAGAAATCTATTACATAAAATAAAGTACTAAAATGATCATGATACTGCCACTAACCCTCTGTAAACAACCACTGTCAAAAACATACTAAGGGCTTCCCTGGTGGCGCAGTGGTTGAGAGTCCGCCTGCCAATGCAGGGGACACGGGTTCGTGACCCAGTCCGGGAGGATCCCACATGCCGCGGAGTGGCTGGGCCCGTGAGCCATGGCCGCTGAGCCTGCGCGTCCGGAGCCTGTGCTCCACAGCGGGAGAGGCCACAACAGTGAGAGGCCCGCGTACCGCAAAAAAAAACCCCAAAAAAACACCATACTAAATCTTACAATACATACTGAGCATTAGCAATGGTAGCTAACTAAATGAACCCAGGATAAGTCGCTAATGTCACCACAACATCCTAGCAAACTGAAGAACTCATGCTTAAGGACGTCCCCTTGGATACTGTGGCCCTAATAAAAAGAAAATGTCTAGCCATGCTTCTTAGCTAAAAACAACATAACCCAGGCGAATGGGGAGTTATTGTTGAATGGGTACAGGGTTTCAGATCTGCAAGCCAAAAAGAGTCCTGCAGATGGACGGTGGTGATGGTTACACGACAGTGTGAATGTACTTAATGCCACTGAACTGTAGACTTAAAAATGGTTGCGACTGTAATTTTTATGTTATATGTTTCTACCACAATCAAGAATAACAGTTAAAGAAAAACAACACTAACATAATTTTATGTTGTAATTTTTCCTGCTGGATGGGCATATTATTTCCACTTCCCTGTATCCCCTCTCCCCTTTTTTTATGAACCTGTTTTAAGATAAAAGGTTAAAATTTTAATATCTAGGATATTATTTCTAATAAAAATTACCTGCTGGGGTTTGGTGGTCTTACGCTTTCTCCCTTCTAGAATAAACTAGAATAGTAAATTCACAATAGGTCTTCAATTAAAAAATAAAAACATGCTTGAGAATCAAACATTTGGTGAAACAACAAAAATAAGTAGGTGAGGAGTCTAAAGAAATGTTTTTGAATTCTATTCGACCAACAAAAGGAGTCAAAAGAGTTGCTAGACATCTTTTCTGTTTTATTACACCTGAACACCAGCATAAAAGCATTAAGAAAAAGAAAGGTTGAGACTTTGAAAACCACTCCCTCCAGGGAACTCAAGTGAAGTAAATTGGAGTGTACATGTTCCTTCTTATTTCTAAAGGTACCTGAACTTAAGAACCTTCAGGACAGGGTAAAAAGTCAAGTCAGATAAGAGTGAGGAAGAGAAGACTACGACGAAGAGATGCTATTTATGCAGTACTGGGGGACTGCATGGGAAGGAATGCTAGTATGATTCACGGAAGGACAACAAACTTTTTAGACACATGAGGCATCACACATTTTAAGGGCAAGACCCAAGGATTGTGAAAGAAATGTGTTATTATTTAATTCTCTGAATTATCATAGTGGAAGCACTTAACTTTCAGACCAACTATTCACCATAGTCAGTTATCTATAGGAAAAAACAATCCAAATATGTAAGCATACATTCTTAAAGGACTATGTTAAAGGACCTTAGGAGAAAGGACTCACATCCTGGCTCTATCTACAGAGAGGACTGAAGCCCTGGGTGGGGGACTGGATCAGATAACTTTGAAGGAGCTTCTAACCCTGAGAAATCTGATTCTATGCCAACACTGTATCTGTGTGGAGGATGTTCTGGAATTTTAGGATGTGATCTTTCGCATTCATGGGCAACAGGGCGATTTTGCAACAGGGCAATTTTTATCTGTATTCACGTCATTAGTAAGAACTTAAAATTCTAAGAAAATCAGTAACCAGTTAAACATAAATTAAATAATTTACAACTTTGAAAATATGTATTAATATCAATAGTAAAACACTGAAGGTAAAAACACAATCATAATGTGGTGCAGGGTTAGTGTATACATGGAAAACAGCTCTCTGGAGGAAAGCTTTATTACTCCCTCAGGGCTTTCTTGCAGAGTATGGATTTTTTAATTCCTAGTGGAATATTTTTCATACACCATTGCAGACTATTAAGTACCAGACATTACATTATGTAGTTTAAACTTTGCACTACTGCACGAGAAAGACTTCCCTGTTGAGAGAACTATTTTTTACAGTTAGCATTTTTTAATATGAAAATGAACACTTCTTTAGGGTAAGATCACTGCAATTGGAATTTGGGAGAATTTTATAACTTAACATATTCATCAATGTGTAGAAATTCTCTCAGGGAGTAGGGTGAGGAGAGAAGGAAACACAACAGGAAGAAGGCTTTTTAATAACTGAGTGTTGACACAGGGCAAAGCAATGGTATTTATAAGGTTTGTCTTCCACTGAGCATAGCTGTACGTACACAGACAGGGGACTAGCATAGGGTGCTAGCAAGTTAAAAAAAATAAAAATAACGGTGTTAAAGAGCGAAGGAAAAAAATACATTAAACTTCAGGCCGGTTAAAGGTACACTTGCTAATGGTGGACTATTAAATGCTCACCCAGGAGAGATGCAGACTCAGAAATATTAAAAAGGCAATATAAATGCACTTTTCCAAGCAATTCCTGAGAAAATAGATTCCTTGCAGAATTTTGGAGTCAAATGTGGAAATAAAATCTAAGCACTGGTGGTCATTTAAAAATCTTTGCCATGGAGAACTTGGATACCCACATTTGGCAAAAGTGGATAGAAAGTTTAAACAAAGTTGACTACTCACTTGTAGACTGTGCCTCCGTTGCCATGACCAAGAGTGTCTCGATACCGTATGTCTTGTTCATTCATCTCCACAAGAAAGAAAGGAAAACAAAAAGGGTGTCATGCTGTGGATGGAAATGTCAAGGAAAAGCAACTCTGGGCCATAAACAACAAGCAGGCTGGGTCATTTCAAGTTCAGCTGCAAGAACGAGAAGATCAATACAACATTTGCTGTCCAATTTATAAAAGACGATACCAAGGGACAAAGTGATGGAAAGTTTAATGACAATTTGTTTGCCTGGGTCATTTCATTAAAGTTTGATAAAAGGTGTCAAAATGGAATGATATAACATAGCTCAAAAGGGTCAGGTCAGAGATACTGATAAGAACACAGTCTCCAGCACTACATAACCACTGCCAAACAGCACTGCACATAACCAAAGTCAAACTTGGCAAGAAAACACACACACACACACACACACACACACTTCTAGTAATCCAATGCACAATTTGTAAATAAATCAGCCCCTGAAAACTCCTCAAGTGACCCTCTAATTAACATTAAACAAACTAACTGAATAATGTTAACGATTTTCCTAGAGTAGATATAGCCTTTTTTTACTTTTTTTTTTTTTTTTTTTGCGGTACACAGGCCTCTCCCTGTTGTGGCCTCTCCTGTTGCGGAGCACAGGCTCCGGACATGCAGGCCCAGCGGCCACGGCTCACGGGCCCAGCTGCTCCACTGCATGTGGGATCTTCCCGGACCGGGGCACGAACCCGTGTCCCCTGCATCGGCAGGCAGACTCTCAACCACTGCGCCACCAGGGAAGCCCAATATAGCCTTTTTTTGAAAATGATAAATTAGTACACAGCAGTAGCTGGGTAGAAATCTTATGCTCATGGAAAAGTGCTAAATCAATGCACTTTAAAATGCACATATAGTCAAATATTATAATGCATAAAAGGAAAATACATAGGTATGTGATTCATATAAAGTCATTTTTGTAATTTATTATATAAAAGAGTATGTGCATTTTCACAGGTTCTGTAAAACTATTATACCACAAATACTACTCTCATTTGAATCGTGAATAGAAGTGAACTATTTTAGTACCCCAAAAATAACGTTTTAGAGTTTGAAAGAACTCCCTAAATAATTATTTATCAAATGACTTTAAGACTAGTCAGATTCTATTTGAGGCATTCAGTAATTTTCTACACACTGGTCCAGTTGCTCAAAAATTAACTGCTAACTTTATTCACTAAATGGATTCAATAAAGGTGTTATTCTCCATATAGCTAAAGCTCGGGAAAAGCCATAGTAAGCCCTGAAAAAAATCAATTTCCAGGGAATTGCACTGCCTTGCATGGGCAGGAAATGGATGGAGTTTTTAATTCAATATCACCTGGAAAAAAATAGTTTGCTTTCAGACCATTATAGTAAAGCTTTAAATATTTTGCTCTACTCTGAACTTCCACCAATGGAATAAAGCAAGGTTCCATTTATCAAGGGAAATATTTTTGTCTATACATTTCTGAGGCTGAAGCTTCAGAGAGCTGTGATAATTAGGAACATAGTGCAGATAACAGAAACAGCTTCCTTTCCAAGCCATTCTGCCAAACCCTAAAAGAATATTGACAGATTAATGTATAAAGGCCAATTCAGCACCCCATTTAATTGTAGTAAAACCTGACTGACTTAATTTGCAATTAGCTAGTTACTATATTTAGGGTCAGAGGCAAAATGACAGACAAGTCAGAAAAATTGGCAACAATTTTCCTATTTGAGGGAAATTCTGTGACATGAAGAAAGAAAATCTCATTATTCTGGACCAAAAAACAAATTTTAAAACACCATGAAGAAAAGTAGCACATCAAGTTGAGATACTAAATAAACTAGCAGAGTTGCTACTGGGTTTGATTTGATCAAAGGGTATAAGAGATACATATGTAAATAGCAGTATCTATTGGCAGCTACAAATAGGCTAATTCCTTGAAAACATTCCTCAAGGTAGTCCAAACATGACTCTAACAACCTAATTTGTACTATTAACTTGCTTAACAAGCTGCACCCTCATCACAGCCTGAAGTAAATTTCTAGGAGAAATTTTACTCACTCAACGTCTACAAATTCTGAATTGGTGGCACTGAAATTTAAGGGTAAGCAGGATGTAGCTATAGGATCCAGGCTCTGGAGAGGTCACAACCTGTGATTACATTCCCTCCACCTCCACCACTCCAGGTAAAAGGACCAGTAGTTTCCTCTTAGAAAAATATAAACATAAGACTCATTGATATTATACATTCCAGTGAGAGACCTAGGACTTCGGAGGGGGCTTGATTTTGTGGTATTTTGTTGGAGGCAGTAAATGCAAAGGGGCAGGTCTCTGAGCAGCTTCAACCACTATAATCCCAACACCATAGTCTTTTTAAACTTTAATACCCACTAGGTTGAAAAGAGAAGTGGAGCAGCCACCCATCCAGCACTCCAACCTAACCAGGAGTGGTAGATGTAAAAAAAAAAAAAAAAAAAAGAGGCAGGGGATAAGCTGAACGCTGCAGAGAGATGGGGGATGATGTTGTGGGCGCTGAATGGGGCGTGGGGGTGTGTGTGTGCACGCACATGCATGCGCACGCTAACACAATGTTTAGGCAAATTCAAGGGTGGAAATTTGGAATCCCTCAGATAATGAGAAAGATTTTAAGAGTCTCATAAAGATAAAAATGGTTTTAAAAAATAAGTTCTAGAACCACGTCACTCAAAAAGACAGTATCCATAAAAAATTGTTTCGACACTTTTAAAGTTTTATATAGACATTTGCCTGGCCTATAAATTGATTGATAGATTATTCTATTTAAAAGTATCAGGGGCTTCCCTGGTGGCGCAGTGGTTGAGAGTCTGCCTGCCAATGCAGGGGACACGGGTTCGTGCCCCGGTCCGGGAAGATCCCACATGCCGCGGAACGGCTGGGCCCGTGAGCCATGGCCTCTGAGCCTGCGCGTCCGGAGCCTGTGCTCCGCAACGGGAGAGGCCACAACAGTGAGAGGCCCGCGTACCGCAAAAACATATATATATATATCTCAGATCTTTTTTTCTTTTGAATCTTCCAATTTTTATAGAGTATTCAAATATTATTCACGTTAAAAAAGTTTTAAAAAGGAAAACTATTAGAGTCAAGCTTATAAACTGATCACAAACGAATTTTGAGAATTTTGTATATCTAATCAAAATGGATTACTTTATTTGATCTTAAATATAAAGAAATCATTAAAGGGATCAACAAGTAGCTAATAACGTTTCTGCCTTTTTAGTTTAGACAGCATATTAATTCAACTTTTCAAAATGAAGCATAGGAACTGTACTCATTATGATACAAAAGTGGGATTTATAAGCCTACAAAATACAACATTTAAATATTACAGTTGAGCTCAAGTATCATAAAAATCACACACTTTTACAACATTTTAAACATATAACCCAATTCGTTTGGGTCATATAACTAGTAAATAGCAACTAGCCAAGGTGAGAACTCAGTCTTTCATGTTACTCTGCTCAATGCTCTATCTTAGCAGTTGATCTCATGTGTAAGTACAGAGGGACATCCTCTCCATCAATGGTGCCTGGTCCATAGGAAGGAAAATAATCAAACGAAGGGCACTCAAAAGTTAAAAGCGATTTCATCAACTACGATATTTGCTTTTAAGAAGAGAAATCACATAGCTCTTTAGATAAAAAAGAGGTAAAAGAAAGTTTTTATTCAATAACGATACCAAATAATTTAAAAATATAAATCAGTTTCCTTGTTTTGACTAAAAAAAAAAAAGCAAATGAAAGGCAGAATAATAGATGTGAGGGAGAAGGGAGAAAAAACCCTGAGAGTTACAATGACGTGTCAACTGCCGCAACGGCAAATGACCTGGGAGAGATGATTGGCACTGGGCTCTGCTGCTGCTGCTGCTGAAAGAGAGGTGGGGGCTGTGAAAGAACGTGGACGTGACACCCCAGGGGGCGGAAAGGTTGTGTCTGTGCAGGGAGGGGAGGTGCCATGCAGTTTGGACTTACACAGTCTCATTCATCTATGTTTAGGTCTTCGTATGGGATCTGAGACGAACCCTAAGAATCTAAGAGTTTTATGTACTGGTAATAGGACACTCTTTAAAGCTAACTTTACAGTCGAATACTATTTTTCTTCCTCCTTCTTTTTTTTTTTTTCTAAACACAGAAAGTTTTTTAAAGGCATCTGAAGTTCTCAAAATAACAGCCAAACATGAAGCAGGATTAGAATTATTTCTAGTTTTGTGACTTCACAGTACATTTATACTTGATTTACCAGAAATAGAAAAATACTGTCAACCTCTCCTACAAATTATAAAAAACAAACAGACAAAAGACAACTTCAGAGATGCAAAGGTCAAAGTCATACATCCTTGGAGTGGCTGTACTTTTTTAATCCTTTAAATTGACCCACTGGGCCATTTCTAATCAGTTTAAAATCAAGGGCCAACATTAAACAGATGATACTGCACTACAACTGAAGTGGGAAAAACACACCCAGAAAACACATCAGTGGTGCTGATTTATAGCTCTCAGTACAACTTGCCAAAAATACCTTATGATTTGTTTTTTTTTAAGCTGGAAAAAAGGAATCCTCTCTCACAAAGCAATTACAGAAGAACATCTCCATTCCAAAGACTAAATGTTAAACTTTTTAAAGTGTTTAATGTGATGTTAATGAAATTAATGGGGAAAATGAAATGGAATTCAATTATAGATCAGCAAAGAAAATATTCTTTGTTTATTGTCTGCCTGTGTTAAGAAGAATCAGTACCTACTGCTTATAAATCATTAAAATAAAAAAGCTCAATTAATCCTTATTTTATATGTAAAGGTCTGACAGAAACTAGTCCTATCACCAGACCTTTGCTTCACAAATCGAAGCAATAATAGTTTCAGAAAGCAGTCACACTCTATGAGCAGACAATTGGAGAGATTTAGTAAATCCCACTTTATAGAGCAGAGACTAATCGGAAAACACAAGCCAGTCAAATGTTTCTTATGAACTGTTGACACTATATCAATGCTGAATCAATTGGTGGCATTTACTCTGAGTGACAGAAAAGAAATAAATATTTATATCACATAACCTATATCAATGAACCCAGGCAGAAAGCTATTTCTAACCTGTCAATATTTGATTATCTTGAAGAATCATGTCCCTTTCTTTTAATGATTAATATGAATTCCTTATTAAATCTAAGTGGAGGCTAGTGGAAAGGCAAATCATTATTAATGCTTGAGAGCATAAACCACTAAAATAAAAAACTATGCTCAAGTGTTAAGGTATCGTTAAATGTGACTTACATCTTCCATATCAAGTGGTGTCAGTGTTCAGCCCACAAATTTATTGATGCCACACTGTGCACATTACCTCACTGCAATGCAATCTCACTCACTCTTTAGTTACCTGATAGCACCAAGGACTGAGGAATTAAGAGGAGGTATTTTGAAGACTTCCAAAGGTGGGAGTTCTTTGTTTTGTACTGTTCGTTTTCGTGAATAAAAGTAAACATAACAATGGCTAATCCTTAAAAGAAAGGAAATGCCATACTGTTTAATGTGGGATTATCACATTCCCAAGGGAAAGCAATAAACAATCTTTAAGTGTCAAAAATCATTGCCATGACAATCTTCCACCGAAGAGAATCTCCTAACCAAGACCACTAAGATATTTATGGTACTAGGTTCAGAACACTAGGAATATTTCAGAATGTTTATTTTTTGCCCTGGAAATAACTGTTTTTCATTTTTGAAAGAGGAATCTATGACAGGTTATTTTCCATTGCCTGGGTTGAACAAATGTAGTTAAAGCTTCTTAATTTATGTCAATTTTGAAATATATTTTCCAGCTGAAGAACACTAGTAACTCACACATAAATTACAGTTAGTAACTAGGATGCAAACATGTTGGAGATACATGAATATCGTAGGCTCAATATTTCAGCTTTTAGTCATGTTAACGCCAAGTGCTGGAGACATGTAAGAAATACACCTGCAGAACCATGTATGCTTCCCTCCGGTGGGGAGAAGAGGGAGAACAAGAGGACAATAATGGGCTTGGCAGTGACCAGAAGGAGAGAGAAGGGCAACCAGGTTTTGTTTCATGTTTCCGAAAACATGCAGGGCACTAGGGGAACATGTATGTGGACCTCAATCTAAACAAAACTTTGGCTGCTTAAAGTTAAAAGTACTATTAGATAAATATGAAATATGGGGACCATTAAGATTATACATACAACATACATACATATGTTGCATATACATACAACACCAGATTCTCCTTAGCCGTATATTGAATAGTTAAGGACTAGAATTCACACACTACAGATGATGATCAGGTGTCAAAACCAGATCAACTCACTTTTTCTAACTGTATTCAAGGGATTACAGGCTAAACAAGTAAGGCTTCCAGAAGTACCACCATACAGTCCTTGTTTTAAGGCATGCACATCTATTAGGCCACAAAGTTACAGGTGATATTAAAGGACAAGCATCAGGACCCAGCTTTGTCTTCTTGACATGCTCCACTACAAGTACCTGATTCATGAAATGCCAATGAGGATTGGAGAGGTCAGCATGTGAAAGCACTGAATAAGCATCTGAGATAATTAAGATTTCAGCCTTCGAAACATGGACGGGAAGTGAACAGCAGTTAAGAAAATCAATAAGAGTCTTTTATTTGCGGTGACACAGATGTCTCAGTCAATAGAGCCTAATAGGCAGGCTTGATCGCGATGGACAGGCGCCTGCCTCCAAGGCTATCAAAGGGCTTCCTCTATAACAAACATTAAAACACATTTATGTTGCTATTGAAGAATCAAGGACCCTGCAGGTAGCTTAATTTACCAGTGTATGTTTAAAGGCACTATACTATTTCAGATGTGTCAATTTAATTGAATCAAAATGAGTGAGAAATAACTGGGCTGCAGGACTGTTTATCCCTCACTGGCTGGAGTAGGTCATTCTGCTTTAGACGACCAGTCAACTAGGCAAACTGAGGGCTCCTGAAGCCCAGGAGTTTTAAATGCCAAAGGTCTGCTGTGACTCTGTTCCCCTAAAATGCCAGTGTTAGTTTCAGGACAAAAGAAGGAACTAAGGTGAGAAAGTAGCAGTTTCTCTTTTTCTCCCTAAAGATAAAGAAAGAAACAGTCACCTCAGGATGCAGGGCCATTTCAACAACCCATGGGTTGACACACTTGCTCAGAACTGATTAACTTTTTTTGCACCGAGCTGGCAGCAGGGTGTGTGCATGGTACTTCAATCTGCTGGGAGTGAAGCCCATTAGCACAGTTTGAAAAACGTGCTGCAAATTGTTCTGCCAATCAAATTAAGCCGTGTAATTCATTTATGACAAGAAGAATTTTATAGATCCTTTATCTGCTTATTAAGTTTACAGATACAAAAACTAGACAGCACTAAGTTATTACTATAGTCTTAATATGTAATGACACCTACCTGGCCATTGGCTAATATTTTTTTCAGTTCAGCAGAAGACTTCTTCAAGCTGAAAAGGAAAGACATAGTTTTTAATGGCAAGTTCATCAGCACCTTTGAACACCACTGAAAATTCCAGACTAAAACACACTTTTGTTTTAGGTGTAGACATAGACTACACTACTCTTTACATCCTTCTCCCTACATAAAATATTTTCTAAAGTAACTGGCCAAATGGCAAAGGTATCGATAAGGGACTGAAACCCCGTTAGTAATCTAAAGCAATAAAAAAGCCTACTATCATAATGAAGCTAGGCTATTGTATGGAGTATTTCAGAGACCTCTTTTTGCTATTAGTTCTGCTGCCTTTGAGTAGCCTTACAGTGGTTATTTTATGTGGACTCTGTCATCTGCTAAATACCAAGTGCTTAACAATGCACTCTTAGAATGTTCACAGCAAACAAAGATTACAGAACTTCAAAAAATTTAAGTCCTGATTTTGTACTATAGCTAAGAGTTACAATTCAGCTTCCTGGGAAGTAAATGTGTAATAGAAATAAATCCTGGCACTCACTAGCTGTGTGCTCTGGAAGAAGATACTTATCCGCTCTGAACCTCAATTTCCCCTTTCTGTAAAATGGGAGAAATATCAACATTATAGTGTAACCAAGAAAATTAAATATTACAAAAAGCCCTAGCACCTGTTTCTTGCACATAGTAAGTATTAAATCAATTTTAGCTGCCTTCTCTTTCCTTTCCTTTCCTGTAGGTATGAAACCCAGCTTCCGTAGGTATGTAAGAAATACAGAAATCTTCTTCTCTGGACATTTATGACTATGTAAACATTTATGTGGATGAGTTTAGGGAGAGCGGCCAAAAGATGCTGTGAAGTTCTTCTGGCTTTATAATGAGTTATACCTGTACACATCCACCCAGTTAGCAGAGTGGTGCATAAAATAATACCTCCTCCCATCAATGTTCTAATTTGAAATTTAAAGCTTGTTAACTCTATCCTAAATCTATCTACTCTAACCCTCTACCCATCTGCCAAATTAACTCTCTTCCCTTTGGTAGTTATCTGTAGATACCTTTCTTCCCACCACACCCCCTCCCAAGACTGGAAGCTCCCTGAGAACAGATACCACATCTTACTCACCTCTCTATATATTCCATTTCCTTCCCGCTCCCGAACCTAGCCCAATGACTTGGCACAAACTAAGTGTCTGATAAATGATAGTCATTATTCTGGTTGTTATTATATGGTAGTAACACACACACACATACTCATTTGGTACCTTTAATAAGTTATATTTGAGAAAACCTCAGACTTCAAGTTTGACCACACTCACGATTCCAAGTTATAATTATTTTTCTTAATAAATACTTCTTAAACTTCTGCTACAGTCAAATGCAAACTATGGAGCCCTAGTCTCTACTTTCTCCAGATTTTATAGAACATGCCTTCAGCCAATGATTCTAAACTTTAATAACATCCTCCCAAGTCTAAGAATTCATGCACTCAAGTGGCAATTAAGAATACTGCAGAATGGGACTAAAGCTGAAATACATCCCCCCCAAAATAAACTGACTAAGATCAGTCCAGTTGAAAACAAAATATTAGCCTCTACCATTTCCTGAGTGATGACCATGTGCCACGCACTGTGCTAAATGCTATTACTTAGTATCCTGATCTAATCCTCACAGTAACTATCCCGCTGTGGGTATACCCTGTGGGGGAAAGTTATTCCTGATACATAAAGAAAACTAAGGTACGAACCTTGTTCAAAGTCTGTCTGTCTTACACACATACTTTTTTTTCTGGAAAACATTTGGACCCTGATATTGCCATAAATGGTCCCAATTTAATATTTGCAATTATTATAAAAACAGAAATGACCAAACAATGCTCAGGCAATGTTTCTCCACAGATATTCCATTATGTCATGCAACTTGAAATAATAACATTTTGATTCATTGCATTTACAAAACACCTTTCATCCAAGAAACAAAATGTGATTCCCTAATACAACTTCATCAATCTTCTTAACACCAGAGGTAGATAGATGGAAAATTTAATCATCCTAATTTTACAGAAGGAGAAAGCCAGAATGTTTAGGAAAGGCCGTGCCTTGGCAGTGGGATGTGAATTCAGTAATTATGGTTTAGGAACATCATGTGGATTAGTAAGCTCAGTTTAATAAACATATCCACCTAAGGCAAGACCAATTCATGCTTTGAGAGTAACAGAGGAAAAAACTGATTTTATTCATTATGTCAATATCTGGCTATGAACTTCGGTAAAAAATTATATTTATATATCCTGGCAATTTCTTTGTGCCCCAGTTTACTCAATGTTTTATTTTTATTTATTTATTTATTGGCTGCATTGGGTCTTCGTTGTTGCACACGTCCTCTCTCTAGTTGTGCCGAGCAGGGCTACTCTTCGTTGTGGTGCGTGGGCTTCTCATTGCAGTGGCTTCTCTTGTTGCAGACCACAGGCTCAGTAGTTGTGGCTCACGGGCTCTAGAGCGCAGGCGCAGTAGCTGTGGTGCACGGGAATAGTTGCTCCACGGCATGTGGGATCTTCCTGGACCAGGGCTCGAACCCGCGTCCCCTGCATTGGCAGGCGGATCTTTTTTTTTTTTTAAACATCTTTATTGGAGTATAATTGCTTTACAATGGTGTGTTAGTTTCTGCTTTATAACAAACTGAATCAGCTATACATATACATATATCCCCCATATCTCCTCCCTCTTGTGTCTCCCTCCCACCCTCCCTATCCCACACCTCAAGGTGGTCACAAAGCCCCGAGCTGATCTTCCTGTGCTATGCGGCCGCTTCCCACTAGCTACCTATTTTACATTTGGTAGTGTATATATGTCCATGCCACTCTCTCACTTCGTCCCAGCTTACCCTTCCCCCTCCCCGTGTCCTCAAGTCCATTCTCTACGTCTGCATCTTTATCCTGTCCTACCCTTAGGTTTTTCAGAAAAAAAAATTTATTTTTTTGATTCATATATATGTGTTAGCATACAGTATTTGTTTTTCTCTTTCTGACTTACTTCTCTCTGTATGACAGACTAAAGGTCCATCCACCTCACTACAAGTAACTCAATTTTGTTTCCTTTTATGGCTGAGTAATATTCCATTGTATATCTGTGCCACACCTTCTTTATCCATTCATCTGTCAATGGACACTTAGGTTGCTTCCATGTCCTGACTATTATAAATAGTGCTGTAATGAACATTGTGGTACATGAATCTTTTTGAATTATGGTTTTCTCAGGGTATATGCCCAGTAGTGGGATTGCTGGGTCATATGGTAGTTCTATTTTTAGTTTTTTAAGGAAGCTCCATACTGTTCTCCAGTGGCTGTATCAATTTACATTCCCACCAACAGTGCAAGAGGGTTCCCTCTTCTCCACACCCTTTCCAGCATTTACTGTTTGTAGATTTTTGGATGATGGCCATTCTGACTGGTATGAGGCGATACCTCATTGTAGTTTTGATTTGCATTTCTCTAATGATTAGTGATGTTGAGCATCCTTTCATGTGTTTGTTGACAATCTGTATATCTTCTTTGGAGAAATGTCTATTTAGGTCTTCTGCCTATTTTTGGATTGCGTTGTTTGTTTTTTGATATTGAGCTGCATGAGCCGCTTGTAAATTTTGGAGATTAATCCTTTGTCAGTTGCTTCATTTGCAAATATTTTCTCCCATTCTAGGGTTGTCTTTTGGTCTTTTTTATGGTTTCCTTTCCTGTGCAAAGCTTTTAAGTTTCATTAGGTCCCATTTGTTTTTTGTTTTTGGTTTTGCTTTTTTTGCGGTACTTGGGCCTTCTCACTGTTGTGGCTTCTCCCGTTGCGGAACACAGGCTCTGGACGCGCAGGCTCAGTGGCCATGGCTCATGGGCCCAGCCACTCCACAGCACGTGGGATCTTCCCGGACCGGGGCACGAACCCATGTCCCCTGCATCGGCAGGTGGACTCTCAACCACTGTGCCACCAGGGAAGCCCAGGTCCCATTTGTTTTTGTTTGTATTTCCATTTCTCTAGGAGGTGGGTCAAAAAGGATCTTGCTGTGATTTATGTCATGGAGTGTTCTTCCTATGTTTTCCTCTAAGAGTTTTATACTGTCTGGCCTTACATTTAGGTCTTTAATCCATTTTGAGTTTATTTTTGTGTATGGTGTTAGGGAGCATTTTAATTTCATTCTTTTACATGTAGCTGTCCAGTTTTCCCAGCACCACTTATTGAAGAAGCTGTCTTTTCTCCATTGTATATTCTTGCCTCCTTTATCAAAGATAAGGTGACCATATGCGCGTGGGTTTATCTCTGGGCTTTCTATCCTGTTCCATTGATCTATATTTCTGTTTTTGTGCCAGTACCATACAGTCTTGATTACTGTAGCTTTGTAGTATAGTCTGAAATCTGGTAGCCTGATTCCTCCAGCTCCATTTTTCTTTCTCAAGATTGCTTTGGCTATTCGGGGTCTTTTGTGTTTCCATACAAACTGTGAAATTTTTTGTTCTAGTTCTATGAAAAATGCCATTGGTAGTTTGATAGGGATTGCACTTAATCTGTAGATTGCTTTGGGTACTAGAGTCATTTTCACAATGTTGATTCTTCCAATCCAAGAATGTGGTACATCTCTCCATCTGTTGTATCATCTTTAATTTCTTTCATCAGTGTCTTAGTTTTCTGCATACAGGTCTTTTTTCTCCTTTGGTAGGTTTACTCCTACCTATTTTATTCTTTTTGTTGCAATGGTAAACGGGAGTGTTTCCTTGATTTCTCTTTCAGATTTTTCATCACTAGTGTATAGGAATGCAAGAGATTTCTGTGCATTAATTTTGTATCCTGCTACTTTACCAAATTCATTGATTAGCTCTAGTAGTTTTCTGGTAGCATCTTTAGGATTTGGCAGGTGGATTCTTAACCACTGCGCCACCAGGGAAGTCCCTCAATGTTTTATTTATCTGCATGGTCACAGTGACTTGAACTATCCAAAAATCACTTTTAAAAACACTTTAAAATTTTAATGTGATACAACTATAATCTGCGAATGACATTTAAAGGGGACACTGAGATACCCAAAGAAGAGTAAAAGGGTGAGGGGACCAGAAATAATGTTGTATCAGAAAAGCTGAATGAGTTTGGAGAATTTAATTCAGAGACAAGATTTAAAGGGAATATAAATTCATTTGTCCACTCATTTATTCAAGCATTACCGACTATCACCTATGTGCCAAGCATCCTGCTGGGAACTGAGGATTCAACAATGAATACATCTGAGTAGTATCCCATTTATATATGTACCATATCTTCTTTATCCATTCAAAACCGTAATGGAAAAAAATATATAAAAGAATATATATATATGTGTATATATATATATATATATATCTAACTGAATCACTTTGCTGTACAACAGAAATTAACCCATTGTAAATCAACTATACTTCAATAAAATAAACAATGAATATGCTACAGTCACTGCCCTCAAGGAGTACAGAATCTACTGGGGGACAGGGGTGATTATAATACAATGTGCTAACCACTACAATAAAAGCAAGCACAGGGAGATATTGGGAATTCATAGAAGGAGTACCTGGCGTAGACTGGGAGGTGGGCAATAATCAGGAACAGTTTTCAGAAGAAGATAACATCTTTGTTCATCAAAGATGACGAAGGTTAGCCGGAATGAAGGCAAAGAAGGGAATGGATTAAAAGAAGAAAGCAGGAAAGAGGCAGCAGTGGAGGTGAAGGCCCAGTAGTGAGAGGAAATGTGATCCATTAAGGGGACCATGTATTCATCAGCAAAGCTGAACCATCAGTTGGAAGGGGGGAGTGGCAGGCTAGGGGGCCAGAGTGAGCAGAGGACCCACATATGGCAGGCCATGGTTCACCTGCTGTGGAGGGTACAGTTTGTCCTGAAGGTTGTGAGGAGCAGTAAAGGGGGGAATGATGGGCTCAGAACATGCACTAGCAAGATCACTCTGGCTGCAGTGTGGAGGAGGGACTGCAATGGGGCAACACGGGAGGTTATAGCAGTAATCTAGGGAGCCTGATCTACCTTTTCAACAACAGAGATGCTGGCAAGTCGACAGACTCCACAGTGATTCAGAAGGTAGAACCTATAAATGTAGGGACTGACTGGATGTGGGGTTGAGGGAGACCCAGGAAGCAGTGAATGATGCCTGGTGGATCCCCTGGAGTTAGCATCCGGGTGGACGTGGGAGAATTTACTGAGACAGGAAACCCAGGAGAAGAAGTATGTTTGGAGGGAAGATGACTAGTAGAGCTATTACCTAGAAGAGGGAACAGCCCTGTTCTGAGGGCTAAACTCAATCTTTACGAGTGGGTGCTAAAGAGACACAAATCTCAGCTCACAAAAAGAACGTTCTGAGACATAGCTACGTGAACATGGAACGGGTGCTTCAGCCAATAAAGTGCATTCCTGCCACAGGGCTGTTCAGGAAGAGCCTGGATGACCATCTGGCAAGGAGTGGGGAGTCGGGCACCTAAGGAGAGCAGCATTAGATGGGGGCCTCTCCTTCTCATGCTTCACACCACAGGCAAGAGTCTTCTATAAACAATGAGCTGGCCATGGCCCTCTGTTGAAAGTCGTCTAACAGCTTGCCAATACGCTGAGGGGAAAGCTCAAACACCAGGCCCCAGGAGCCAGCTCCTGTCACCTCCTTTTCTCCTATCACTCCTACTGTTCTCCCCACCTTTCCACTCCCTCCCCCAGCCCAGCACCCCTCCCTGGGCTCCAGCCTAACTGGCCTCCTTCTGAACACATAGAGCTCCTTTTCCACCCAAGGGCCTTCACTTACTCTCCCCACCCTCTGAAATGCCCTTCTCTGGCTCTTGATGTGGCTAGGTATTTCTCATCCTTCAGGCCGAAGTGGAATGCCACTCTCCCCTGGGCACCCCGTCCAAATCTAAACACAATCCTGCCCAGTGTTCTCTCACTTCAAAATCTGCTTGTTTCCTTCATAACACTAATTATAAAGTATAATTATTTGTATACTGGGGGGAGGTGGTCTGTAGGCCTATGAGACAGCGAGCTCCAGAGGATAAGGACCACATTGTATTCCTAGTGGGTAGGACAGCACTGAATAAATAGGAGGCACTCGATAAATACTTTTGATTAGTTATCAATATGGGGCACAGAACATGGCCAACCTAGGGTGGCATATTAAAATCACCTGTAGGACTTTTTCAAACTGCAGTCCTCCCATAACAAAAATCACTTCTGGAGCAAACTACCATTACTATTTGGGAGGCTGTCATATCCCTAAAGGAAGATGCTGCAACAAAGGGCTGACAACCACTAGATCAGATAGTCTCTTTCCAGCCCAAAGATGTTATAATACTCTGTGAATATAAATGATAGTTTTTTAAAAGCCAAGCTAATTCACTTTGGTTTTGGTTAAAACCAAATCTGAGAGAGTTGAAAAGTTATCCTGCTGCTTCTCTGCCTTACTGTCTTTTTCAACTCCATCCTGCTTTTTATACCATGATGAACTTTGACCTAAAACACCAGGAAAAGTCCTTGTTTTCACTCAAGGCTAATAGTCAGTCTGTCTGAATAACATTTTTTCTAGAAGTAGTGGTAATAATTAGAGGCCCTGCCCTCTTCGAGCTGAATGTAACAAATGACCCTCAGTCCCCATGCCTCTACTCGGTGGACATGGCTCTCTTGCCCAACAAGCATGAAAAGAGAAGCCTCAGAGCATCGCCTGGCAGGGCCAAGCACTTGGATGAGGACTAAAAGACCTACTCCTCAGGACCACAAGACAGGTGATCCACTGGTGAATAACCAGTGGATGTATTTTAACACAGAATAAATTGTTTAAGAAGGAAACACACTCTAAGAGTAGTGTGTTCATAGCAGGAAAGCTGTGCATAAGATATACTGACACTATAATAAAGCAATCAAGGAAGTGACTTTTGGGGAGGGGACAGGAGAATAGAGAGAGAGTCAGAAGGAGAGACTTTAAATCACCTGCAGTAAAGCCCAGTGACAAAAGAACCAAGACACTGGGTGGAGGGGGTAAGGAGGGGCATGGAAGGGAAAGTAGAAGCCTAAGCTACATCTCAGCAGATAAGGGCTGTGCAAACACTGACTACTGCCCTAAACCCAGAAAGACCAGGGCACACAATGGAAGGGTGATCTGGCTCAATGATGGCTTTTCAGTCACCAGTGTGAATACAAACACACAGAGCAATCACCTTCAAGTGTCATCTTCAAGTACAGTAATAAGATGTTAACCAGCTGAATAACTGAATATGTAACAAATATGATCTAGAATTCTTTCAGCTTAAGCAGGTCCTTCTACTTGAGAACCTTAATCTTCTGGAAGTAAGTTCTCAGGCCTGTCAGAAGAACACTTTGAAGAGGCTCAAGTCTTTAGTATCCATCCCAGTATGGGACAATGTAAGCATGAATTAATGAAAATTATCTTCCTTCTGTAATAGCTCAATCTCTTGTGCACCAAAGATACATAAATGGACAACTTGGCTGGTCAATTTAAACTTCACCACATTACTCTTTCCTTGTCTCCTTCTGGGAAAAGTGTCAGTAAAGCATGACACTGCCAAAAGATGGACAAGCAAGACAAAAATAATAAGCATTATACAAACCAGATCATCAAAGCATGGAAACAGTCAAAGGCACTGAATCTTCTGTTTCTGCATAATCTGGAGACTGATGGAAAACCATTCCACAGACCAAAATAAATAGTTCAACATGTCTAATTTTATCTTTCCCTATGAGGTCCTTTCTTTTCAGTCAATACATAGCTAGGGTTACTTAACTGGTCAGATTTCTTCTTAGCCACATACACACTTTTGAGGTCTTATAAAGAAAAAGAGACGTCATCCCACAAGCCCCTTCTTCACTCCCAACTATGTAGATATTCACGCTCAGAGGCACATGTCACTCGCTCGCTCTCACCTATTGCTTGGAAGTGAATCTGAGACTGCTGGGCTGCTGTGTTGAGAGGATCCAGCCCGGGTATTCACCTACAAGTAAAGAAAGGATCTTGATCAGTCTGTGTTCTGAGGACACAGTTCTAATTAACCTGTAATTTGCCACAAATTTCTCATTTCACTATGAAGGTTAATTAGCTTTTTACTAGACAGACCCATGGTTGGAGTCTATTCAGTATATAGGTTATAAAAACTGTACAACCTGTATATTACATAATACTTTGTTCCTGTCATTATTCAAATACTTAAATAGTGCTGAAAAGGGGAGAGATAAACTGGGGACATTTTCAATTCACTGTCTAGAACTGAATTCAACTCTAGTGAAAAAATTCAGTTCACTGTTTCTTTTTGTTTTATATAAAAAACAGTATGTTCAAAAAAGTATATTAAGAATACATCCAAGGGTTAGTAGTGAAACTCACGATATCATACCCCTTCAGCTTTAAAACCAGGCAGAACATAGCAGAATGTTTCTTATTCACCGAAAAATGAGGCCCAAGTAATTAATTATAAAACGCTTGAGTCTAATACAATAGCCAGTTTTTCTTTTAAATGTAAAGCCTTAAGCAGAAATCCAGAATTCAAAATACGCAGAACAATGAAAGGACATTAAATAGATATATGTTTCTAGCATAAACATGTCAAAAGAAGAGGGGGGTATTCTGTATGCAATATGCTTATGTGCTTAATTAATCACTGAAATGAAGTCTATATTTTTACTCAAGTAAATCTTTGTGGAGACCAGTACCCAGGATCATCCTGAAGAAACAGACCAACAAAAGAATTCCAAATAATAATTTTTTTAAAATACGGCATCAAAACCCCAATATGTACACATATTGAACAAATACTAATGAATCCTCCTCCACATCCCATTAAAAAAAAAAAAAAGGAACGCTTGTCAGAGCTTGAGAAAGTGCAGTTTTATTTGACATTTCAATAAGTGGAACACAGCATTACAAATCCATCTAACTTTACTGAAACAATTATTGAAATTCGTACCTTCAGGCCATGTATGTTCCGTTCCCCAGGAGGCTTGCAGGCTGAAACAGTAATTGACTAAATTGTAGAACACATCAGGGCCATTTACAAATTTGCTCAAAATGAATCGTTTAAAAAGAAATGAGGGTGACACCAAAATTAGCAGAGAGAAATGATTGAAAAGTGGCTCCCAAGACCCAAAGTGGGAATTATGAACCAGGGTTTTTAACTTGCAGGAGTGAGCATTTATAAATGCAAAGAGCTTTCTGACACCACCTCATATAAATTCCAATTTCTGCTTAAAACATATAAAAATCAAGTTAACTGAGCTAAAATGATTAGATTCCTTTCATAATTCAAATTTCTGCCATCATCTTTCCTCACTCTATTACATTGTATATCTGTTATCACTTAAGACTACAATGAAAATAGCTGGGGTTTTTGGAGGGGAGTGGGAGGAGGTTCTTTTAACGCCAAAACAATTGCTAGAGATTCTAAGATGAAATATTTAAGTTTGAACATCAGTTTGCAAAGCAGTAAGCAGTCAAATTTGTTAGAATACAGATATACCATTAATTTCATGACATTTCTTGCAAATCTTGACATTTGCTAACATTTAAGTCTAAACATAAAGCAGTACCAGCGAAAATAATATTAATTTCCTGACACCATCTTGAGTTACAGGTTAGTACTTTTCCAATTCAGCAAATGCTTCTTCATCAAATGTTAAAAAAATTAAAGTGCTTCCTGCCCATGTTATAGGCTGCTTCCATCTGAAAACTACAGTGTCCTACATATTATATGTTAAGGGGCCGTCAATTTTGATTGATTGTTTGGGAAAGGATGAATTTGATTTTTTTTTTTTTTTGCTCCTTTCTCAGATGTACATGTATTTTCCTCTGTTTCTGACAAGAAATCGAGCTGTTTAATAAGAAGATGTGGCTAATAATTACAAAGCACATCAGTTGCTTTAGGTTTGTGTATTTCAAATATATTCAAAGTCATTATGTTATTTTCCTTAAAAAAAAAATCTAAACCTCAGTAAAGGATTTTTATTTGTTTTTCTAAAATACGTTAAAATTAAGACTCCAAATCCTCTTTCCTAAAGATGGAAATTAACCTTTTGAACAAACCAACAGTCACATACATCTGATGCTTGGTCCTTTAGGGACCATTAATACTTCCTAAGACAACACTTCAGAGGATTTCCTCTGAAGTAGCCAGTGCATTATAAACTTCATTTAGTAAGAAAGTGGCTAACTAAGGAATTAGAGACAGGCATCAACTCTTATCTCCTACCTTAACATCTGCCTCGTTCCTCAACTGGCTTCTTAAATCTTTGTGACTGAAAATCTAAACAGTACTCAAAGGACTTCCCTGGTGGCGCAGTGGTTAAGAATCCACCTGCCAATGCAGGAGACACGGGTTCGAGCCCTAATCCTGGAAAATCCCAGATGCCACAGAGCAGCTGAGCCCGGGTGCCACAACTACTGAGCCTGCACTCTAGAGCCCGCGTGCCACAACTACTGAAGCCCACGTGCCTAGAGGTTGTGCTCTGCAACAAGAGAAGACACCGCAATGAGAAGCCAGCACACCGCAACGAAGAGTAGCCCCCACTCACCACAAGAGAAAGCCCGCGCGCGGCAACGAAGACCCAATGCAGCCAAAAATTAATTAATTAAAAAATAAAATAAAAAGTAAACAGTATTCAAAAAAACCCAGTAGCCTCATATTTCCTAAAGTTGTGGAGTCAGAAGTTACTGTAAAGCTAGTGAATTTTCATACTTATTAATAGTTAACATATCTTATAACTACAAAGAGAATTAGCCCTGAGCTGGGAGCTACTATCCAATGCAATTGTGCCACTTGGAATGAGAAGACCTGATGTTAGAAGAGAATTGTTTTCTCCTGTCCTCTGATTTGCTCAGTCTAGAGATTCTTTTTCACATGGGGCCTGACCACAGAATCTAAGAATCTAAGGTCTGAGAGCCCTTAACCAACTCAGTAGACCCAGGCAATATACTCAATGTCTATACTCTAACTGTAAAAATCTGTATAACCTCTAAATTTATATAAATCTTACATAAAATTTTATATATATTTAGAGATTTATGTAAACTTATATGAAAAATAAAATTGCATAAAATCTATACTTTGTGTAGATAAATAAGCAAAAAGCAAAAAACTGTAGAAAACTAAAGACACAGAACAGTATGCACAAAACCACACAGATAGGGAGACTGAGTCTCATATTTTAAAAAATTTAAATTTGGCGTGGAACAACCGTATTTAATAATTTATTGGAGACTAATAGGTTCTGTCCTAGGACTACATGTGACACTCAAATGTCACATATTTTCTTTAAGAATCTCCTCCCTACAATATACTCTTCTCCACACTCCTACCAAGCCCTCCAAACTACCCCCATGCACACTCTACTAATATTTTAACCTACATAAGAGCATATAGCCCTTCTACTCTAAGCAAATTAAACTTAAACAAAATTCTTATTCAAAGGGTATATTAACCACTTAAAAATTGTGACTCTGAAGTTACTTAACATCTCTGAACCTTAATATTCTCAAGTATAAAATGGAAGCAATAATAATAGGCATGACTGTTGGGAGAACTAGAAATGGTGACACACAAAGCAATATTAGTGTCTGAACAGAGAAGATGGCTAAAAATGGCTGTTATTATCATGGGAGGGGCACAATGATATGGACAGGGACACTGACAGGGGCTGTTCACAAGATAAAAGAAAACAAACAGAACTTAGAAAGATTCTGGATGAAGAGAAGTAAATACTTTTTGGAAAAAAAGAAAATATGAAGGCCCTCAGCATTAGAATTATAATTCTCCAGGATACTTTCTGGGGTTTGCTACAAAAGAGCTATAAAGTCATCCAGTAGGAAAGCAATGAATGGAAATTTTCAGCTGGTAAAAAAAATACTCCTTGTGGAGAAACTATTTTGAAACTTGCCCAAATTCTCTGGTTATTGAAAATATTAAGAAATAATCTGCACCCTGTTCTTGGCTTAATACACAGAAATGGCAACATTTTCTTTTTTTTCTTTTTTTCTTTTTGTTTGCGGTACGCGGGCCTCTCACTGTTGTGGCCTCTCCCGTTGCAGAGCACTGGCTCCGGTCGTGCAGGCTCAGCAGCCATGGCTCACGGGCCTAGCCGCTCCGCGGCATGTGGGATCCTCCCAGACCGGGGCACGAACCCGTGTCCCCTGCATCGGCAGGCGGACTCTCAACCACTGCGCCACCAGGGAAGCCCTCTTTTTTTAGTTTTTAGTCTTCAGGTGCAACAGAACTGAAATAATCATAATCTTGTTTCAGACACGCTATCAACGGCCCAATTTTACTTACTTACTTAGGTCTTTAATAAGTTATTATTAATAATGTACTAAATACTCCTAATCCCACTGCCCATGTTAATGCTAGAAGAACAGCATTACTCTTGAACCCAGATCTTCTCATGCGCTGGAGACTATCAGTGCAAAGAGGAGTCTACTGGTTCATTGAGCTATTCAAACTTCAGAGAGTTACAGGTAATGAAAGTCTAGAATGCTTAATTGGAAAACCCATACCATTATTATTTGTACAGTATCAGTTAACGAAGGTAAGTTTAACTTTTAATTATTTCAATTAAGCTATTTCTAGAAGACTTACTTAGAGAATTTTCTTATCTGTTCCATCAGTTAGAAAACATAGATTTCCAAGTGGGGCAATGTATAATGGGTGAAAGACTTAATGGTTTATATAATTAAACTGTTCTTTTTCACCATTACTCAAATTTTCAGGGAACATTTATACAGAGCTGAGCAATCATATCTGATACAAGGCTAGTACTATCAAACCTAAAGGGAAAAACAAATGATTTAACCAGGTGATTCACCAAGGGTCACTCTCATTAGCTCATATTTTTGGAAACTTAACAATCAAATTCCTATTTATGAGGATTTTCAATTATTTAGAAAATGTCTCCCCCCAAAATCAAGCACTAAACATTCCACCAAAATATCGCTCCTAAAACCCCCCAGTAAATCTTGGTTTCTGCACTAGCTGAAAGCTTTCTACTCAATAGCAGCTCTGGCTACCATCATGAGCCACAATTTATAAATATCCAAAATTAAAGTCATTCATTTGCCTTGGTTTAGAAACCATGTGGACCCCCAAAGAGTTCTTTAAGCGAATGTAAGTATGTACTTCAAAAACGAAAACCAATCTAGTTAGTTTCATTTACTCTAGTAAATTAGATATTCTATCTGCCATAACTATAATACAGCCTGCAATCCCCACGATAATGAATACTTCTTTTGTTTTTTCAAATTAAGAGCTAAACATCATGTTATGTGCATTTAAACCTTTGGAAAACATAACTGTTGATGAAACAGTTTACTGAAATAATCATTGTTGATTAGAATTTGTTCAACATTACCTCTTGGAAATATCTGCAGAGGCTCTATTAACTGTCCATTTACTTGCTGTTCCATTACTGTGGAATAATACTGCAAAGAGATTATAGAAAGAGGTTACTCAGTAATGTAAGAATACTGGAACAGACACTTATGGGTTGTTTAATTCATAGTACTTTTGTAAACTACTGGTATATACATATCAGCCTCGAGAATTCTTTTTCCCTATTTGCACATCAATATGACTACAGTGAATACGCAGGACTAAAAGTCCAGTATAGTGTTATCCTCCATATTATCATTTATCTTTAAGAGTAAAAAATGTTGATTAAGATTTTACGTTAGTATCTGATCTCTAGAAATGTTCTGAAAATGACATATACTAAAAATGACACAAGAACTTCCCTGGCGGTCCAATGGTTAAGACTTCGCCTTTCAATGCAGGGTATGCAGGTTCGATCCCTGGTTGGGGAGCTAAGATCCCACATGCCTCATGGCCAAAAAACCAAAACATAAAACAAAAACGGTCCATGGGGGCTTCCCTGGTGGCGCAGTGGTTGACAGTCCGCCTGCTGATGCAGGGGACACGGGTTTGTGCCCCGGTCC